TTATATATTTTATGTATATATAATAATAAGTTAATTATAAATATTTAGTATAAGAATTGATAATTAAATCAAAGTATATATTTGTATAATATTAGTTAAAAATAATTTCACATTTAATAGTCTTAAATCTTTATTACTAAATATATAAATATATGAAATTGTATTAGGTATAATCGACAGCCATTTCTGTCGATTATACCTAGTATATTCGACAGCCATAATGGCTGTCGATTATACTTGATATAATCGACAGAAATGGCTGTCGATTATATCCAGTATATTCGACAGCCACAATGACTGTCGATTATACCTATATAATCGACAGAGTTTTTGTCGATAATATAAGTAAAATCGATAGTTTTTTTACTGTCGATTATATTTTTGTCGATTATATGCTGTTTTCTAGTAGTGTTAGGAGCTTATTGGCTCTAATACCATGTTGGAAATAGAAAAGAAGAATAATAATTTGAAAAAATGTTTATTGCTTTCTTGAATAATATTGTATGTACAATGACCTATATGTAGGTATTTACAAAGAGGATATTCTAAAATATAAAACATACAAAGCGAATTTTCTAAAGTATAAAATATTTGTAATAATTCTGAATATAATTGTGTTCACATCTTAATAATCCCCATATATAATTTTATTTTCTTTTACTCTTGATTTCATAAAAATTATCTTATATCTTTTGTTTAAAAAATATCATTAATATATATATATATATATATATACAAATTTGAAATAAGGTTTACCAGAGTATAATAAAGATATCGGTGGTTGCCTGTTGAAGGACACTGCTAACAAAGATCATTTTGCCTATGCCACGAGTGGATTCCCTCAAGATTCAACCAAGCAATTTTAAAAATGCAAACGAATAATAATCCAAGTAACTAAAAGATGAGTATGCTTTATATCAAACCTGTGCCATTCTTCGTATCCGCCAAAAGTCATCTTTTTGAATATCTTTTCATATATATATATATATATATTGAATGTATTTGTGAAAAGCCAAAAGAATAATTTTGAAGTTAAATGACACATTCTTCCAATATGAAGAGATTGAATTGGAATCTTAAAGATATAATCTTCTCCCTTATTCAATTGTTCATTTTATATAAAAGATATTCAAAAACAGAAAGCATCCACAATTATGCACCTCAACTTGGACGTTGCCTCACCAACAATTACTATAGATCCTCCTAGTTTGTGAATATCAATCATCAGATTTTCAACAGATTCTGCAATAAAACAGTCGACAGAGTCGGCCTCTTTTCATTGGTAAAATGGTAGAAGGAGGCAGTGGGGACAGTTACGAATAACCATAACAATCTGAAATACATTTTTATCACAAAAATAACAATTAATAACAGTGATTAGTACACCCTATATTTCAACACTCAATTCAACACCTTCCGGTTTAGTCATTAAAAAATCACTATTTTTTAGTTTGAAATTAAAAACAGACAAATATAATGATACAATCATACACACATGATACAGGAACTGGTTGAATTGACTGTATTTATATTATATTTTTAATGATTAAATCAGAAAGTATTGAACCGAATGTTGAATCAAAGGGTGTACCAAATATTTCTCAACAATTAAAAGCAAGGAAGCAAAGTTTAAAAGAGAACATGTATTTCATAGAATCAAGGACGTCAGTAACCAATAATGAAAAGCTAAAAAATATAACCTTTTCTTTAACTATTGCTATTGTAATCCTTCCAATGGCATCGGCTGCTCTTGTCATTGTTTTTTACTTTTGTCTGTTCATCTATATATCTATATAATTAAAAAGATATTAAAAAAAAAGTAGGTGAAATCCTATAATAAAAAAGAGTAAATAAAATTAATAAGAAATCAAATTCTAGTTGGATTGTAATATTTAATATATGTTATATTTTAATTACAATATTCTTTTTAAAAAAATTTATTGGGTATTTATTGAGCATTTTTTTAAAGTTCTGTCTTTATTTGAGAATTTTAGGGAGAATTTTAATAAGGATTTTAGTTATTATTATATCAAGGTTTTAGGGAGCCTAATATTATTTGAGATGTCAATGACCTAAATA